GTATTTAACTTAAAGTAATAAAAAGCTTATACTCATGCTTGACAAACTAGGAAGAGTTGTGGACCTTAACATTATTTGGACGTATAACACCAGCCAATAATATGAAGAGACTAGTAGTCCAAGGAAAACCGGAGGGAAGAAGAGTCTCCAACCGTATGGACTGATACAGTCGAGAAGTTATTAAACAGAACTTCGTTATTGCGGTACAGGTCTTTCAAAATAGAGATAGATGGAGTGACAATATAAAAAGAGCAATACGATCTCTGTTAGAAACGCACCATTCCGAATCACTACGTATCTGTAAAAATGTATAGATTGGAAGGAGAAATTAAGAAAAGAATACATACTTGAAATAAGACACAAATGCCCAATTATTTTTAAAACCGGACCAGATATACTATTCTAAAAAAGCGCAAAGAATGTTAGGTATGCACATGAAACATAAACTAACTAAAATTTATAACAAAAACTGAAAAAGTAGAAGACACACAAGAAAATTAAATATATCTGAAATACATTTCGAGGAGGAAACAGTGATAAAAAAATTGTATAAAAAACAGTCGTCGTCGAGTTCCCCCGCGGTTTAGAAATCGGGCAGGTACGAAAGAGTTTATCTATGAAGCTTTGAATATTCATAACCTTTTTAATGGTTCTTTAAATACTTTTCTAGAACTGGTATTTAGTTGAAAACACACTCAACATAACAAAATACTAAAAAATTATGAACGATTGATTATAAATATTATTAAAGTAGGCAACGGCAATAGCAGAATCGAAAAATCTATGAATAATCTACACTTGAAAATGTGAAAAATAGAATAGCTGCAGGGAAAGATGAGATATTACAGTTAATCATAAATCATAAATTAAATATTTCGGCATTTGCTGCCACTTATGACTTCTCCAGCTTTTTAAAATGTGCTGAGAGAGATACAACATTTCAGACCCACGAAAAACAGCGGAGGACATAGCTTTATTTAAAAAGGCAACAGAAGCGACAGCAGACATAAGTAAACTAAATACTGCTAATAAAATATACACAGAGATCTTAAACAGTAAGTATCTATAAAAGAAAAACACGATACATTCGGAATAGGGCATGCAGTGAATCATGTTTATAATTAGATAACTCATCAAAAACTCAAGAAATTTAATTTCAACACATAATAAATATCTGAACAAACCCTACCAGTTACCCTTAACATCTTACAAAGTCAATAAAAATGTTGTATTATCAGACAAAAAAGAAGTGAGAGAATAACAGAAGAAATCGAAATCAACCAAGGAGTGCGACAGGGTTTCAGTCTTTCCGTACCCTTCTTAACATAAATATTTACAGTTGCTTAAACATGGAAAATAGGTAGAATATCTAGGTATATAACTCGATTGACATAAACGCCAAGGCTTTACTATTTGCACACAACAATAATAATTCAATACATAAAAGATAAACAATAACTAGTAATACGTCGGTTAAACCACATGTGTAGGTATACAATACAACCTAAAAATATCCTTAGCAAATACGAAAGTTATGACACTTAAAATCAAATCTTGGACAATAGACCAATAAAGCAAATATCTATTATTAGAGCAAATATTTTCACTACTTCCGATAAGACAAAAGTTATGAATACGATAATGATATAGACAATATAATAAACAAATTATATCAATCTTTAATATAAAATGTTTGAAAATAGATGTACCTTTACTAATGTACTTTAAATATAAAATATAATGTGTAATGACGAGATGAGATTTTTAAAAAGAATTAAAGGTTGCGTAACTAGAGATCTAATAAGAAATGAAGTTGTTCTATAAACGACAAGTTAGTTGATTATAAAGATAAATGGATACCACATATGGGCATGATGTAAAATGAAAGACTACACAGAAAAATACACAATTACAATCCAAAATGCAAGGAAAATGTAAGGAAAAAAATTGTCACGATACCCTTATGAAGACGGAACAGGCAAATCCGAATTCCTGTAGTAAAATAAGAAAAAAAAAAGATTAAATTAAATGGCACTAATTCTATCAATAGCATTTTGACGTCTTCCACATAATTTTTTTTTATTTTGATTCATTTAATTTTTTTTACATCCTAAAAGTGTGATGTTTTAGGTTGCTGTAAGTTTCTTCTTTTTTGAATACAGCAGATTTAAATAAAGAATTCTAAAATTAGTTATTTAAAAGACGTATTGTAAAATTTAATATTGAGTTCATTCTCACAATTCTCCCAATTATAAGAAATTATATCTAAAAATATAGATGTTATGAATAGATACACAAAAACATACCTGATTTTGATACCGACATGCTAAAAAAGAACTCACAATAATAATATAGCCCGATCAAAGAACACTATCACCAAAAAAAAAATTATGAAGGACGAAAATTTGTGCATAGGCAGATGAAAATGTCTATTATCAAGTGAAAAAAAATTTACACTCCCAAGGTACCTCCGTTTTGCAAAAAAAATATTTTTTATATATTGGGTTGTATTTTGTAAAATAATTTAAAAAAAATTAATTTTTAATGATAATTTTTTTTATATATTGGGCTGTATTTCGTAAAATAATTTTAAAAACTATTTTCTTTTTAAATATATCGTCATGACTCGTTAAAAATGTGACAAAACATTTTTTATACTTTTAGTAGTCTCTAAAATATAACCTTTTTGTAATTGCTTATTTTTTGCTACCTATTGGATGCGCGCACACATAAAGATGACATAATTTTTTAATCAATTTTAAACAATTTGGGACAATTTCTCAAGATAAAAACTTACAAAAAGACAACAAATCTATAAAAAAAACTCAATTTTATTACGAATGGATGAAAACTTACGAAAAAGACAACAAATCTATAAAAAAAAACTCAATTTTATTACGAATGGATGAAAACTTACGAAAAAGACAACAAATCTATAAAAAAAAACTCAATTTTATTATGAATGAATATTCACAGTAAATTAGAAATTATTAAATTAAGAAAAATCTGTTTAAAGATAAACACAAATAGTTTTTAAGAGCAACAAATACTTTTCGTTATAAAAATGTTTCAATCAATTGAATTCCTTTTGAATTTACAATAATATTAATATTTAAAAGTTGTATTGTGGCACAAATGTGGGTTACTGGTGGTTAAAAGATGGCATTTTTTTAATTTTATTTTTAAATGCTTTTCGAAATTCATTCAACTATATCTGAAAATAATAAAGAGCACTGGAAACGGCAATGTTTTAATAAAATCAAAGCATTTTTTTAATTAATTTTTTTAAATGAAAATTTGACACTCGTTAGAAACAGGAAAATGAATTGGGCATTTAAAGACAGATAACAAGCCCATGTTGTTAAATTCTTGTTCCCTTACAATGTTTTGTAGTTTTTATAAATTTTTAATATTTTGTATTGTATTTTGAAAGATAAATGTATATAATGAGTGTTAAAAGTGAGGTAGTTGACAATATTTCTTGTTTTATATGTGAAAAAGGATTAGAATGTGACAATGAAGACACAGTTGTATTTGTTAAACGTGGAATACGTACAACAAAAAACAGGTTTAGAAAGATTGGATAATAGACACAAATTGCTTTTCGATTATGAAGGAATTAAATCACAGAAAAAATGCAGATAAAAATATGTATTTTAATAAATAGCTAAATCAATTATTACACTAATAATTATGTGAAATAATCATTTTAATTGCATTTATCATGTATTCTTATAATATGGACTGAAGCAATAATTGCTACTTTTTGTATTAACATTGGCAGTCACGTAGGCGTTTTATTTATCATTGGGAAGTATATATATTTTAATATTATTTATAATGCAATGTTTTGTCTATTTTTACCAATATTATTAATTATTAATTTACATAATATTTAAGTTTTTTTTTTATATTATTCGCTTAATACTTCAATAATTAAAGAATATTACTTACTTTATGTGCGTGTGCAACCAGATAGGAATTTAAAATAGGGCTATATCTCAGAAATTACTGAAGCTATAAAAAAAATTGTTTAATCTCGAAAATAATCCGATAATAGTTAGGTATCTATAATTTCTATTTTACGAAATGAAGCACAATATATGAAAAGTACGCCGTATTTTTTTTTTTTTTAATTTTCGTAAAATGGAGAACTTTTACAAAATAAACAGTTTTAACTATCTATTCCCAAATTTTCACACTTGATTTTTTTTGGTCTAGGCAAAATTTTGTATTTATTGACCGGATAATACGAATAATGTGTTTTTTAAACTTTAATATTGATAAGAAATGTCTTCCATATAAGCAGTTTTAGATGATCAAGATTTAGATAATTTCAAAATCGGTTTTTTTAATGATTTTCTGTAAAAGAACCAAAAGTATATTTTTAAGTTTATTTAAAGGTATGTAATTTAAAAATATCTTAACCAATTTTAATACATAAATGTATTAAATAAATATCACGTAGACATGAACTCGTTCAAAGGAAGAATACTCGGCTAAAAGAAGAACAGAAGGAAAAATTCGTGACTTATTATGTATTTTAAAAAAATATTTAATTTTAAACATACAGAATTAATTGAATTTTTAGGTAAAGCAAAATAAGCACGAAAAAGACCACATAATATTTAACCACAAGATATAAGCTATCCGTAATCGTATTAATCCTAAATAGAAAAAATTAGAAGAGGGCCTACTAGTCGAACGAAAATCCAAGTATCTTGCAAGACAAAAATACGTAACATATATATGTTTACCTACTATATTTCTGAATCTAATGATGATCAATAATTTGCAAAATTAAAAAATAAGCATCAAATAATTGGATATTTTAATACGTTACTATTTTTATATTTACTATTTTACTATATTAAAAATTATCAAGTTATCAAATTGTGAGCATACCCCATTATAACCCAAAATATTATCTTTAGATAAAGTAATTTCGTGGAAAAAAAATATTAAAAACACTACTACTAGAAAACCAATAAAATATATCACTAGTCTCTTTGCAATAGTTCGTGTAACGCCGCAATGTAGGTCTGAGCCATTTGCAGCGTTTCGAACTTTGACAATTTTCTATCGTTCCCCAGAGAGGGAACGACATCCCTTAACCTATCAAAAGCGTCATTTAAACTATTCATTCTCCTTCTCTCTCTGGCATTTGCAGCTAGTCTACGTTTTTTCATCACTTCTACCCCGGTCTGGGGCTGACTGTTAGTTCTTCTAGGATTAGTATCTTTTTTGTACTTACTGTCATTATAGTAGTCCTGTCTACCGTAGCTGCTCATGGGATTATCCGTTCCTTGGGACTTGTATTTGTAGTCGTACTTATTGTAGATGTTGTTGTTCTCTCCGTAGTACCCCCTGCTGCCACCCCACTCTTGCCGGTAGTAGTTAGGGGTGTACGGTTGGGACGACATTCCTGGATCGGAAGCTGTGGACAATGGGCTGGAAACCGTCAATGCGTAGTGGCTGTCTGGAGTTGACACTCGTGGAGACAAGCAACCGTCGGAAGAGGACTCTTGAGCATGATGCCGGACATACATGTTTTTATTTTCATATCTGTTTGAGCTAAGTTCTCGTGGGTTTGGACTTGTCTAGTAAATTTTATCATAAAATTTGGTTCATTTGGAAGATTTGTTACGCGAATCATATAATTTGGTATATTAAAGAATAAGTAAACATTTGATGCAACTAAGTTATTACAAAAGACCAAACATTTTCTTTTATTAGTATTATTCAAACATTAACAAAATCACAGCATGTTTTACTAGTTCCAAATAATCAGTGCAGCTTATATTTGAAATATTTTTTCACTTTCAAAATTATGAAGGAATCTTGATAGGATCTTTTAGTTTATATATAATTTTCTCAAACTTAACTCCTGAAGGTATATAATTTTCGATACCTTACTTTTATCAATATTGTTCCATATTTCGAATATTTTAAAAATAAAATTAATATGGTGATAATAACAGAGCCTCCTCGTATCGGTTAAACTTCACATATTAAAAACATCTCTCGAAGACGGAACAGAAAGTTGCAGTGACACTAATATCACAAGAACACGTCCATTAAAACTTGTCGCGTGCTTCTTATTTACATATTCGCGTGAGTGAACGCACTGGAGACGCGTGTTATGAAGATGCTGGTGTGTGTCTTGATGTTAACTGGAGATGACTGGAGCCCAAGAAGCGAACGTTCGGTATTAAATCAAAGAAAGAAGTGGTAGCTAGCGTGTGTGAGATGGCCTCGGCCTCTTCACTTCTTCAGTCAGTGGTCCGCAGCCACTGTCGAGGTGATGATGGAATATTGTTTGTTCTTTAGCGAGATGGTCAATGGCGAGGACGTCGGCTTGGATATATTGCACGCATTGATAAACTAAATTATTTAACGACGCGATGCTTCAGCAAACAGATTAGAATGATATTTTCTTTATTTCTGGCACGTACAAGGCTTCTAAAAGTTTTAAAGCATGGAATTACTTTTTTCTTTTTGTTTTATTATTAATAGTAAATTATATACAGAAACTACTGTTAATTATTTTTGTCATCTTCATTTTCAATCATCTCTTAGTATATTACAGGATTATCGTATTAGTGTTCTTGTGGCTTTATTATCATAAGCACTGTTTTTTTTTATTTTAAATTTTTATTCCTACTTGTTTATTTCTTTTAAGTGTTTTATAATAATTTCGGCAAACGTATTGGTAACTGCATTTGTATCGATATTTCGATGGCTAGACAAAGCCATATCGACATACCTATATTCATTTTTCATTTCGATTATGTTTTATTCAATTTTCCATGTTGTATCTTAATAAATCCACTGCAATACACATGCAATACTTAGAATTTCGATATCACAAAACTATCAGCCTAATAAGACTTCTTCTGCATCTTCTTCTTTTTCTTCTTCTTTTTCTTATTCTTCTTCTTCTTCTTCTCCTTCTTCTTCTTCTTCTACGTCTTTTTGGATGTTCATTTGGATGTTCATCTATGGAAGATAGTCAGCTAAGATATAACTCCATCTCATGTGCTGTCGGTCTATACTTCTTCGACCAGTTGGTGATTTATCCCTTGCTATTTTAACGACTCCTGTGTCCGCATTTTCATTGATGTGATTGTTTTATTCTTTTTTATAAATAAAATATATTCAAAAATAATATACCCTGTATATTAAATATTTATTTTGATTTCGTTTCTCCTTATTCGGTCTCTTAGCTTGTTTCCTTTGATTCTTCTGAGTATTCTTATTTCTGCTGTTTCCAGCATTCTCTGTATTTTCAGAATTCTGTGCCAGTTGTTTATTAACTCCTTCTCCTCTATCCTATATCCTTTGTCAGGATGTAGTGACGTTATGGTATTTGACGAATGGTTGCTATCCATTCTTTTATCTCCTGGGCGCTGTGTACTGCCTCAGATAGAGAGTAACCGGAGAGTAACTTTATTTGGTCTGACCATCGGAGTGGCGATCTTCCTCGAGTTCTTTTACCATCTACCTTACCTTCAACCACCAACCTCTCCATGCCTTCAATTCGTCTGGTAATGTGTCCAAAGTACCTCAATATATTTTGGTTGATGATTTTGGTAAGCCTAGTATTGATGTCGAGTTTTGTTAATATTGAGACATTTGTGGGATGTGCTCTCCAGGGTATGTGCATCATTCTACAATATACCCACATTTCCAAGGCCATTATACGTCGTGAGTCGGACTTTTTAATGGTCCAAGTTTTTGACGCATAGCTAGCGATAGGGAAGATAAGCGTCCGTACTAGGCGCAGTTTTGTGTTCCTGGTTATGTTTATTATTCTTTCCAGATGTTAGTTAGTTGACCGTTGCTGATCTGTTCATTGTAAGTCATCAACGTATCTCTTCTTGGCATCCACCATTGTTTGTGATAACAGAACCTGTCATTGTGATTACCCTGATCTTCTGTACATTAATTTTTAGTCCATATTTACGACTAATAGTATCTAGACTGTTCATGATGTACCAAGGTCATGTACTAAAGTGTCGTCAGCATAGCGGAGATTGCTGATTTTCAGCCTCCGACTGACATTCCTCCTTGCATCCATCCAATATAATGCGCATGATGTGTTCGCTATATATATATATATATATATATATATATATATATATATATATATATATATAATATATATATATATTATTAGACATTTTGACATGTTGTTCGGTAACACAGAGGAACTTTTCATTTTTACGGTACATGGACTAAAATGGAATCCTACGGCTGACTTCTTTTCTCATGTTTCTCGTCCCTTTGACAAACCCTGTACAAAGCGGGCTATTCGTTCGTAAATCAGTCGTATTTTGTTGCTATCCTCTTGTTTTTATTCCTTTTCCATGTCTTTTTGCTAGTCAAACGTCTTCCGCAACCGCTGTGGTACTTTGATGTAGTCTGGGATGATGGAACATCTGAACAGATACATCTGACCTCTGTATTTGTATGTGTTACATTTCTGGTGTTATTTCTATACACGATTATCTATCGCAGGATCGGAACTCTTGGTAGCTATACCGCTGACTGATCTAGTCACATTTGTCAACGAGTCTAGTCCAATTTTTATGCTCGCGCTGTCTCGACAAGATTGGAACTCTTGGCAGCCATAGTGCTGGCTGATCAAGTCACCTTTGTCATATTGTTTTCCTTCTGATCCTCCGATATTTAATCTGATTCTACGATTGCGCTCCCTTGAGCTAATTTTTTTACCCACAAATTGTCAATCGTATTAAACACATATAAGAACTGATACCACACTCTACTCGGCATTATATGCCTTCTAATCAACACCGCTCTGATTGTGGTAGTCGTGTTTTATCACCGGTACACTTATTACAATCTTCACCAAACTGGCATTTTCCTACCGTAGATCTCGTTGAAATATCATTACTTCCCGTCTGTCCTTGTAGACTTGAAATGCGACACCACGCCGAGATTTCGACGCTGTTCTTCTTCTTGTTTTCTGGGCACTCCACGGAATTCTTATAGGAAAAGGGGCCAATGGTATTGTGTTTGACACAGTCCTAGTTTAGCCGATCGAAAAATTATACCGATTCGACGCTATTCTTTTCTAATTGATGACATTGTACGCGTTGTTAATCTGAGCACAGTTTCAGATGGCATCCAACAATGTTCTGTGGTCAAAATATGACCGCCGCTTATTTGTTAATTCATATTTTATTCTTACTTAGTTCTTAACTTGAATATCGATCTTTTCAGGTCTATTCTTTATACTTATACTTTTAGCTGTTCTTAAAAACATTCGTTTTTGGAGCGGGAGAATGTTTGGGAAAGTATGTGCGAATTCATTTAATATTTTTACAGTTAATATTTTTTCTGTTACGGTACTGTAATATGACCTAATTTGGGTGCTGTATTTCAAAGATTTTTTTAAAATATATTATTTCCTGTGAGTTCGTAAAACTTAAACTGGCTCTCATTTATCAAGTTAAAGTACGCAGAATTGGGCTTTTTCTTTGTATTCTATGCCAGAAAGATTGAAACAAATGGTTGATTTATGGCATGCCCGGCCTACGAGCTGTTGACCACCCTACAGTTCGAGGCTGGTTTGTGCCCGGAACGCTCTTAAACCCTCAAGATTGGCACCTCTTCGTGAGACAACGATCGATCGACACGCATCTAGTTCCGGACGGTTCTTGTGCTGAGCCTCGGGCGACGGGGCGACGCTAGCGTCGGTACCACCGACCAAGTCTTCAGCCTTGTACGAACTCATCAGTAGAACCAAAGGGCAAGCCTTATAATTCTTTGTACAAAACATTGATAATGAGTAAACCAGTTGATTTCATAACTTATTGACAATTTAAAGTTGCTATTTTCACCAATTTTATGTACCAACCAATATTGCATTTTTCGTTATAATTATTTATATAATATAATTTAATCAGCGACCTCTCAAGTTTAATCCTAAACAGTGTTGTTGAAGCAGATATTAAATATTGGAAATGATAAAGTTGGTATTGACACCTTTATCTGTTACTTAACAGACTTATAAAAGGAGCTTATTGAACTTTGATACATTATTTAATTTTAAGGGGGTACAAAGGCCAGCTAGTATTTAATAAAAATAGACAACTGAAAAAAGCAAGCAACAAATAAAATTCAATAATTAGGAAATAAATTTTGATAAAATGAAAGGCAGATATCGAGCACAGTTTTATTAATTAAATCTTGCCCAAGTACTTTTGCTTCCTAGAGCATTATCAAAAGCATTTCGTCAATTTTGGGATATCCCACATTCATTCAAGAGAATCATTCTCTCCGCCTATTTTTTAAATAATTTTAAACTGTTTGTCCTTGTTTAGTGTAGTGTTATGCACAACTTTATGTTTAATTTTATGTTTATGGTATTTTGCGATTGTTGGATAGCCAAAATTAACGAAATGCCCCTGAAAACTGTGCTCGATATCTGCCTTTCATTTTATCAAAGTTCATTTATTTGAGCATTCAACCATATCATTCAACCTTTCCTAATTATCAATTAGGAAATAAATTTAAAAAATTATTCAGTGCTAGATGGCAACATCGCTCAGATGACAACTGAGTTGCCTTAAGT